TTTGCAATAAAACTGCAGGAGACGCTAATAAAATTAAGTTATCTTCCGATGACGACATTGCAACCAAGCGCTGTGAGTGCAAATACACAATGATGATCGAACTATTTTTCTTCTTTTTCCTATTTGTTTTATTGTTTTTTTTTTGCAATAAAACTGCAGGAGACGCTTATAAAATTAAGTTATCTTCCGATGACGACATTGCAACCAAGCGCTGTGAGTGCAAATACACAATGATGATCGACGTATTGAGTTGAACGTTTGCGGGCAAGACACGAACCCATGTGTAATGCTTGACGTGATTATTTGAACATCTAAGAGGGTTTTAAAATAAGCATGTTTTTAAACAGAATTTCCAAATTTCAGGAATTTGAATTTGACTTTTCAGAAAAGATGAAACTTGCGCAAGTTTTATAAACGGGGTGCTAGATTATACTAAAAGAAAGATTTTTCGAGTGAATATTAAAAATATTGTCAAAAGATTAATTACAAAGTAAATATTTTGCGCAAGTTGCATAGCATAAAGCTGGTATGTTGTCTAAGATTCTCAAGTAATAAATTATAAATATATATAATAATGCAAATATCAACAAAAGTGTCGAAATTGTGTATGTTTTGAAATTGATTTGCAAAATATTACATTTCATTTGGCACAGGAATATATAAATATTTTTACACTCTAGCAAATTTGTTCACACCTATTCGAAATAGTGATAAAAATTACTGATTGGCACACAACTTTAAAGAAACTTGTCATTAAAGAAAATTGATATGTTTCGGTGGTTCTGGTAGGAAATTTCGGTAAAAAAAAGTATTTGCTGTGGCAACACTAAATATTATACACACTTTGGTTAATTATCGATATATTGTTTGGTTCGTTTTTATTGGTATTCTGGACAGTTTGTTTTTAAGTGGCATTGGTTGTAGGCTGTTAACAAGAAAGTAATGTTTACTGTAAAAGTGGTTTTTATACATATTACATTGAAGTTATACTACAGTATCTAATAAATTAATTCACGTTATCATAAGTAAGTTTACGTAAACATAAATTTAATTATTTGTAAATGAAAAATGTGTTGTATTATAGTTGCATTACCGGGCAAAGTTATACATACTTATGTATATGGTTTTAAAATCGCTTAAATGGTATCTTGGATTGAGGGTGTTAAAATGTCAATCCAAATATATCGCAAAAATACTGATGAAATGCGGGCGCGTTTACATTAAAAATAGGGAAAACTTTAGTATAATGTCCCACGCTTTCGGGGA